CATTCTTCATTGAAAAGGCGACACTTAGCATCTACTTTTCTTTTGTTAGTAGCCATAACGGTGGGTGAAGAAAACAGGATCTGGAAATGAAAAACAATTGTTTATTTACACATTGAATAGTCTACCAAAAAAGTTTTAAAAAAATAATAATTTTTCAAAATTTTTTTGACATGTATATTGTTACGACAGCGGAGGTCACGTGACGCTAGTAACACGTCATATTCTCGAAGATTCGTGAATGCTCGGGCGTTTACTAGATTTCGGTATTCTTTTATATATAAGATGGTCAAGACGTGACGGCAACAATGTTTTGTGTAATTGAACTGGGGATAGAGAGAGACGTATTGTCGAGCACGTGAGACGTTCGTTGTGAATTATAGCGTTTGTTATAGCGCGACTGTGGAAATTAAGTGTATCGCAAAGTTGTATTGGGAAAGAATAAACCAGTTTTATTTAAGACAGGACTTGTATCGGTAAAGTTTCTTCGGAAAGAATTTTTACGGAAAATTAACTAACGAACACAGAGGTGTAACAATATCTTAAACGGCTAGGTTACTACTTCCGAATTATTTCTATATTTTGGAGGCGTAACAATATAAACACGACACTATTTACATTTAGTTCGTAATAACGTAATTTAATGTCATGAATAATTGGTTTAAAAGTTTTTTCCCGATAAGTTATTTGATTAAGCAATTTTTATAATTTGCCAATGTATTTAAAATTTATTATGTAAGTTAATTAGAAGAGCTTCATAAAAAATAATTAAGATCATATTTAATAAAAATATTGAGCTCACAAGAGGTAAGCATCTAATATTTTCAAACTTTGATATTTATTTAAGCCCTATATTTTAATCGCTATACACTCAAAAAACGACTTAATTAAATTAACGAAGATTTTAATTAAATTAGTATCAAATTCTTAATACTATATTTGCCTATTAAGATTCTTTTTCAACACTCAGATATGCAAGATATATGACATAATTCACTGAAGTC